CTCTCCCCCCACCCCTGCAGGCCGATGGCTGCCTGCTAGTATTTTGGTAATCGTCATCCTCCCTGACCCGCTGGCCCGATCCTGGCGCCAGGAGTCTCCACACCTCCCCTTCGCCTCCTCACAAAGACCCCCACCCCCACCCCCCACGGATAATTCAACCCAGCTGTTGCAAGGTGCCTGCTCTTCCAGTGATGGAAGGACCCTTTGCCAAAGTCAAAAGTACCACGGCAGCAATGTAAACACGCATCGCTCTCGAGAGCACGGAAAGACGGTCGGGGTAGCAGTAAAAACAAGAGTTGGAAGAATCAAGTCATTGTAGCTGCTGCAGGTGGAACCACTTTCACATGCAGATCACGTTGAGGTTTTGATAAGAGGAGAAAGGCGGGAAACAAAGATCAAGGCACAAATCTGCTTTTTGGTTTTGGACGCTTTGGTTTTATACAACGCTTGCCACCTTCAGACGAACTCGCATTTACCAACACAATCCTGTTTTTGAAATTTGCGAAGAAACGAGAGTGGCGTGAGAAAACTTGGAGTCCGTTGAAAGTGAGCATGATCAAGAAGGCTTGAACGAGCTTGCGTCTGGGATGAATAAGATTGCTGTCGGCTCTTTGGGAGGCCTGTCGACCTGTGCTCGGGGTCTCACTGGTCAGATGCCGGCCAATCGCATGCGGGCACGCTTCCTGGTTCCTGCCTTGCAAACAACTCCCGAACGGAATTGAACGGCGACATGTGGAAGCGCACGTTCGCCGGGATCGCGATGCTCGATGTTTACCCCCCCCAACGCCGGTTCTTTCACTGACCTGAATGTTTTTTGGTCATCCGTCGAACGGTCTGGTCTTAATGAGAAGGAATGTGTGTCACGCGAAGGGGAGAGGCGGACAGAATCCAGCCCTTCATTGGAATCACATGAAGAGCATGTGCATCCTCAGTGATCCAAGCGATACCGAGGAGATTTAGGATAAATGCCGAGGAATGTTTGTCAAGTGGGACAGAGAAACAAAAGGCCGAGAGCTGCAATTTTCACCGCAGGAGGGTCAAGAAACGTGAATTATGCTTGTTTCATTTCATAAGGTGCCTCTCTGTCTATGCTCTGACCACATCGGGAGATTGTGTTGAAATTTAGGGGAACCCCGAGCTTTTGATCCCCAATCCGCAACCCCCCAACACTGCTGAGTAATGGCCTGCAAGTCAACTGACTACATATGTGTGTGACAGAGGTTTGGATTGTTTTTCACAAGGCGGCAGCGGTGCGGTTGCCTTCTAGCACAGCGGCGGATGGTTATCAGAGACAGAGGCCCGACCGAGGGGGCGGCCGAATGGTACAAAGAGCTGTTCTGCTGGAACGCTGCACGGGGAAAAATAGTTCATGCTGCACTGGGATTTCCTGCCTTTGCCCGACCAGCCTCTCCCCCTTCTGTCATCTCACAGCCCCCTTCGCCAGGCCGAAGGCGCTCGGGAGCCTTTTTCAAGCTCAAGGTGGGCGAGTCGATTCATTGAACGAAGGGGCGGGCGAGAGGTGCGGCGTCGGTCCGGACAATTAATGCAGTCGGGTTTGCAGAAATTCCATTTCCTCCTCGACAGTGTCCACCCACAGGTCGAGGGGAAAAAGGAACTGACTCAGGATCGTTTTCACACTCTTGGCTCTCACAGTGACATGCAACATATTTGGACGCTGTTATCTGATCTCACATCGTCCACAGCTGGAATACGCATTGCCCGCCATGATATGGATGGTGTGAATGGCGAGGCACAAGACGGCCCCGCATTCCCACTGGTGTTGGATGTAGTCAGGACAGGTGCCTGGCCATTTGGCCGCACTCAGACATGTCGCGTGGGTGTC